GCTTTTGGGCGAAATATATTTCGCCCTATTTCGGAAATTTCGCCTAGGCGAAATATATAATTTCGCCCGAAACACTAGATCTAACTCATCTTCGGATTCCACAGTATAGTATCCTTTTTTTTCATCTAGTTCTTTGCTTTTATACGTAAATTCGTTGAACGTGTTGCCACTTTCATTTCCCCAGTCTTCTTCTTTTAGTTGCTCTAGATCCTTGGTACTGGTATGCGATATAGGCACTTCAATCGTTTGGACCTGGAGCCTCAAAATCAGTTTTTGTTCATCAAAGTGGAGTCGTGCTTTAGCTTTTTGGAACCAGTCAGTCCTGAGTAGCAGGGTTTCGTCAGAAGATTCAATGACTTGTAAGGTACTGGAATTTACCACATCTTGAACAACAATTTTAACATTATTTATCCTTCTTAGCGCTCTTGTTTTCGCACCCGTAGCCGTCACCATGTCTGTTGGGGATTTTTCTTGTATCTGAAGACCCAACTTGTCTACTAATTTTTTTGCCATAATACTCACGGCTGCGCTGGAGTCTAATACTGCCACAACTGGGTTATCTCGAATTCTTACATAACATCAGGCTGCTATAGTTCTCTTATCGTCTTCGAACTTAATATAGCTAGCTTCTTGTACTGGGTAAGGGTCTTCGTAGTGCCAGGGTCAGGTTTCTCCTCTGGTTAGGGTACTGAAGCAACTGACCTAGTGTAATAGTCACAGAGGTATTCATAATGTCTTTAGTAACATTGTACAGAGTGAGTTTATCAACCACTGATGGATCACGTTTTCTTTTTGGCTTCTTTACGGGTACAATTTCGTCTTCCACCATCACATCAGGAGCTTTTAGGTTTACCAAGGGGGGTGATGTGACGTTTCTACGAGTCCTTAACTGATTTTCCCACCGAGCTTCTAGTTGGGCCTGTGCTACTTTTTTGCTGTTTCCTTCGTAAGGTTGGTATCTATTTTCGCCTAAGGTATAGACCTCATCTTCCCATCCATCATTATCGATGTAGGATGTGGCTACTTCTACGTAATTAGCCTTGTTTTTATCCTCACTTTCCTTCTTGGGGGCTTTTTCTGATAGACAAAACTGAGATATATGACCAGGTTCGCCACAGCTATAACAGGTAATATCTTTCTTTGGTTCATGGCGCTTTTCTTGATTTTCTTCATTTTTCTACTTATTTTCGCTGCGAGGTTCTTTAGGATGATTTTCGACAAGGGCGGCATAGTTCAAGGTAATTTGTTCAATTTTTTTGAAAAGATTACCCAATTCTTCTTCCAGCCTCTTCTGTGCCCTCTTTCTTGCATTTGTTTACTGTGTATTCTCCCGCTTCAACTCTTCTGGTGCTAATGATGGCTTCCTCCAAGGTATTGGGCTTGGAAACCGCAACGAAGGTTGGTATTTTACCCAAAGTCCACTTAGAAATATACGAATAATGTATGCATCAGGCAATTCCTTTTCTGGATCCACCCTCACAATGAGGCGCTTAAATTTCGTGGCATACACATCAACTCTCTCATCCCTGTGCTGTTGGAGACTATTCAGTTCGATTTGCCACCTATGACGTTTTTCCGGCATGGCAAAGAAGTCTAAGAAGGCATGGTAGAAACTTTCTTCTTCGTTTTCATCATTTTTCTATTTTTTTAGTTAATTTTTCTTTCCTTTATGCTAGTCCACGGCCAATCCATGGAGATACCCGGAAGCTATACTGAGCATCCTTACTTCTGACCAATTATTGGCTTCTGCGACTTTTTCGAAAGATTCTATCCATTCAATAGGATCCTCTTCATCAGTCGCACAAAAGGCATTAATCTTTACATGAGTTAGCTCCTTCTTTTCTTCTCTTCTAGAATTGGCAATTGTAGTTGCCACCTGAGCGAAGGATGTAGTTAACACATCCAATAATTCTTTCAGCTATTCCCTATTCATTGTGTAGCTATTCAGGGAAAGTATATCTCTTATTATTTCTTCAATCTTGATAGATTATGCAATGTTTACTCAAATTTTTAAAATCAGGGAGGGGGGTAGTCATCGTGTCGAATCTCATAGTCACTACCAAAAAATAACAACTGTAAAATAGTGACTCTGTCGCTTATTATTTCTTCAATCTTGATAGATTATGCAACGTTTACTCAAATTTTTCAAATCGGGGAGGGGGTAGACATCGTGTCGAATCTCACAGTCACTACCAAAAATAACAACTGTAAAATGGTAAGTCTGTCGCTAATCGAATCTAGACGTCATGTAACCTATGATCGGCTTAGTCGAGAAGAGGCATTTAGATTTGGCGAGTGGTGATTTTAATCATAGGTATGTTTTCTTTACTATATCAGGAACTCAATACAATTCACTAACACTTAAGCTTTCAATCTACAATCAATCTAACAAAACCACAGCTCAAGTTCTTCACAATAACCCAAAACTGGAATCAATAAACCACAGAATCCACAGTCTGTCAGAAAACTAGAAAACAACCACAACTATCTTCGGTATGTCAAAATAGCTAGAAAATAACAACCATGGAGGCTCTTAGTGCATCAAGAAACAACCAGATAGAGTTTCGGTACAATTTATGTTTATCACGTGAACAAGAGACAGTGATCATATTACTTATGCTACTTAAGTAATAGATCTAGATGTAAGTATTTTATTTAACGAATATACAAGGTATAAAATTATTAGAAATAAATTTTTTTGTGAATCACGAAGGGATTATTTTCTCCCAAGAGCGAGAAGCCTTTATTATATACTTTATCTATCTTATGACTTATTAAAAGTCTAATTCGTGCTACATTATTTTAATCATTTACTATACACAAACTAATTATTATTATTATTACCTATTAATCATATAATTCATCAATGTTAGTGTATTTCTTTATTCCCTTTCTTACAACTATTCCACTTTTTCCATTTTTTTTTAATTTTTTTACCAGTAAACCCTTTTTTGGCAAATAATCTGCATAGCCATTATGCTTTTACTGCGCCACACTTTTACCATCCCTTCACGTGTTTCCAGAGCTGCCGTTCTGCGGCTCACATTTCTCCCTGACTTAAGGTGAGTCCCACAAACTTTACTAGACAAGTTGCCTTACTTCGGCACTTGTCAACTGTTTAAAATCTTAAAACGTTACTTCTGAAGTGTTCCATAAATCTGTCAAATGCATCAAGAAAGAAAAATATCATAGATCCGGGTGGCCGTATGGTAATAGTACTAGGATATCATTCTTCGCATCTGCACTTTCTGATCGCTAGTCACATGGGCAAAGAGCATACTGATATAAACCAAAGCCTCATTCCGATCCTGTAATCGTAAGGCTCGAAGCAGGGGGCATGTCAATTCGAGGCCGTTACTAGGTCATGTGATTCATTGAAGGAGGTGGCGTGACTTCGATGTAATCGGGAACTGGAGCAGTGATGTTAATGATAATATCACTCAATTGCATAATGGTGAAAAATGAATTTTCTTTAAAACCTTTTCACATTCTGGCTCTGCTTTTATTTCTTTTCTTATATACCCTTTTCTTTATGATTTGGCTATTTACACACCATTCTTTTCATTAGGATAGTATCCTTTTTTTTTTTTTTTTTTTTTGTTTCTTATATTAGGCATTTGATCGCTTATAATACCTTTTCAGTAATTTAATGTTAATGAGCATAGCTATAACGCTTCCATTTAAGGTTTGCAATTTGAACACATTTTTGGAAAAGATCTCGTAGATATAATAAGGTCCTGTCTATTTTGGTTCAAGCTTCACACTTTTGCTGTGCTATTTCGAGGACCGATAAAATAATACTTTGTCTCCGATTTTCAGTTTAGGACTTGGCTTGATGTTTCGATCATGTCGCTCTTTCATCTTGGTTTGGCCTGTTGAACTCGTATAATGGCAGAGTTATGAACGTCAGGTAGTTTTTCAATTAGCTCTATTGTTCTTTGGATTATTGTTTCATTAGCTAATTCCTTTGTCCCACTTGGTTCTATGGGTAACCTTGCTTCCTGGCCATATGTTAAAAAGAATGGTGTGATCTTTGTGGTGGAGTGTCTTGTCATCCAGTAAGCAAACAGGATGGCTGATATCACCAGGTCTCAATCAGTAATAGTAGCTACTGATTTTGTGATAGCCTTGCATAACGTCTTATTAAACCATTCCACCAATCCATTCGTTTGTGAGTAGTATGGTGTGGATACTAGGTGCTTGATCCAAAATTTTTTTAGCAATCCATCTACCACATGGTTAAGAAAGTGTGTGCCTCGATCTGATAGTAATTTCTCTGGACACCCATGTTGGCAGATAATTTCATCGAAGACGAAATTAGAGACCTCTTGTGAGTTTGCAAACTGGATTGCCTTGGTCTCAGGCTATTTCGTTAAGTAATCTGTGGCCACAATGATATAACAGTTGCACCGTGGGGTTACTGGTAAAGGGCCAATGATGTCTATCTTGACCTGGTAGAAAGAGGCCGATACAGGTATAGGGTGTAAAGGACCTATCATTTTATTTCTACCTCTCTTTTGACAATCTTCGCAAGCTTTAACGTAGTCTTTTATATCATCAAACATTTTAGGCAAAAAATAAATCCCTCTAATCTTCTTAAACATAGCTTCAGTTCCGAAGTGTCCATCCATAGGATAGTTGTGCATCATTAAGAGAATGGCATCAACCTCCGCCTTTTGTATCACTCTTATCATTCTTTCCAGGTAATGCGGGTTGGGTTTATATAAAAAAACATCTTTCAGTTTTAACTTCTTACTAATTCTAATTATCTTATTCTTCCTATCTGTGGCTAGGTTTGGTGATAAGTACCGTTCTTGTAGGTAGCGCGTGACTTGATTTTATATTGAAGGATCTATCATTTTTTTATTTTGTCAGGACACCGATCACCTGAACTGGATTTAGCTTATAGTCAGTTTTGAAGTTTTCTTGTGGCTGATCTTTTTAGATAAATGTTCTTCAACGTGAGTCTAATTATCTTGTTGCTTGTTTCTTCATTTGTTTCTAATTTTTAGAAGGAGTCCCACTACCTGCTCCAATTTATCCTAACCAACCATATAATCATTAGGTCTGTCTAAAGAGTTTTTTTTTTTTTTTTAATATTTAAGGTGACCACTTAGGCTATTGGCACGAGCTTTATTCAAGTAGTTATGATATTACATCTATTTTCAAGGATACAACTAGCCACACATGCACCTTTTGGGTGCCTAATTTAAGTAGTTCACCTGGGTTCTACACTAGCCACCAGTGATGATAAATTTTGGATTTGGACATTGTCTAATTGGTTTTGGACATATGTCTAATTAATTTTGGACATATGTTCAAATAGCTTGAAAACAATTGGACATAGTAGCCTTATCATCACTGCTAGCCACCATACCTGCAATCTAACTAGAAGATTACCTATTTAAGCTCTCTGATTATTTCTAACGAGAGTATGACTAGCTATACATGCAACTTTTGGTTGTCTATTTAAGTAGTCTGCCCTAGGTTCCACACTAGCTGCCATAACTATAACCCAACTAGGAAGTTACCTATTTAAATTCTCTGGCTACCACTTTTGTAACACACCCTACCCTAACACTCATATAAGATTAGCAATTGCATTTTTTTATTTTTTTTATATATTCGTTATTATGTTATCATTATATTTCGCTTCACCCCCTTTTTTTTTTTTTTTTTTTATAATTCTAGGAGCGTTGCGTTAGCTCCAGAAACCATTAGTTCCAAGGTGATAGATCTTCGTCAGTCACGTAATTGTTTATTATTATAAACGTTGATGGCTTTGATGTTTATTTGTTCCATACAGCCTAGGTCAATTCCGGTGGCTATCAAATATTCTCTCCATGACGAACGCCAGCTATGATCACTCTTTCAGGATTAATAGGTTCCTTGGATCGTGTGCGATAAGTCAGTAGCCGAATTGCTCTGTCATGTATATGGTCTTGTCTCAGTTTATCACTTCCAAGGTGAAGTGTTCAAGCTCAATTGGGTGTGAATACAAGTGGAAAGTCTTTCCATAGTATCGATTCAGGTGGAGAAAGCTTAACGCATTATGGTATTCACTAGACATCTTGAAGTACAGTGGGGTCATATTTTGGGTCCAGACTTGGCTGTTGACTTCGTTAGAGACGGGTTCAGGTAAGACGTCTTCTATTTTTATATATCCTTTCTGCCCTTCTTCATCTTCTACTTTCACCATAAATACTTCTCTTTCATTTTGTACTTTGTGGCATCCATCTTCTCCTTCTTGGGTTGCTATGGTTTTATCGTCATCATTACAATCTTGCCAGATTTTTTTATTTTTTTCACCTTCTGTTTCCGGGTCAGCATTTTCTTTATCATCTTCTGATTCCATTTCGTTCTGATCTCCTAATTCATCTCCTGATTCTATTGCCTCTAGAACTAATTCTTGGTACTCTAGCTCCCTTTGGTATTCTTTGATCACGAACCTTCTTTCTAAATTTTCTCTGGGGCCAGGGAATAGACTAGTTAGGAGTCCAAGGCCGAGAACTCCATTATTGAAAGACCTAGAAACGGGTTCCATAGAGTAATCTTCTGGCTCCAATTTAATAGGTTGCTCTTCCAAATCATTATTCTCCACTTTCATCATGAACACTTCACACTCTTAGCTTGGGTTACCCCAGCCACCATCCCACTCTTGATTAGCTGAATAGTCTTCTATGGTACTCAAATTCCACTAGGCTTCATCTGCGCCTAGCTATGTCTTCGCTTCATAAGGTTTGTCATCATCCCTATCACTTTTGTCATTGCTGAACTCAATGCCATTTATGGGTTCTCCCCATTTTGATGGTTCTACACTATAAATATCATCTAGGTTTTTCTCATTTTCTTCATCATCATTGGACCACTATGATTCTTCTACAGCATCATAGTTACCCCAGGTCAATACTCGACCAGATTCCCATGCCAATTGATTTAACAATTCTTGATAGTCTTCTCGAGAATCCTGATCACTCACCCATTCTTCCTCTATCGGTTAGGGTCAACTTCATTATTATCCATTCGATTATTATAATCATAATCAGCTATCGACAGGAGCTATTCTTCTTCTCCTGATTTAGTTAATATTTCTCCTGTCTCACTTGATTCTTCTTTTCTAATTGTAGACCCTTCTTGGGCTTTCTTTTCGGGTTTGAACTGACAAGACAGAGCATCGGTATTGTTGTGCACCTTACCGGCTCGGTGCTGAATTGTATAATTATATAGTTGGAGCCTAATAATCCACCTGGCCCTCTGCTATTCATTTTGGCGGTGTGCAACCATTTTAAAGCCACGTGATCTGTTACTACTATGAAGGGGTTAAACCCGAAGTAGTGGCAATAGTACTCCACCGCCCATAGTACTGTGAGGCACTCCAACTCTGTGGCAGAATAGTTCTTCTCTGCTCGTGACAAGCCGGGCTAGCATAAGAAATTACTCAGTCTTTATTTTCTTCGTCTTTCTGGACTAGCACCGCATCTAATCCTGTGCTAGAGGCGTTCATGTGTAAGTAGAATGTTTTTGAAAAGTTAGGATATTGAAGAATAGGGGCTGAAATTAGATGGGTCTTTAATTTTTCAAAAGTCTTTTGCTGATCGCTATTCCATTCGTATTTAACATTTTTCTTCAGCAGGTGGTGTAGCAGTCGTGCGATGGTTGCAAAACCCTTGATGAACTGACGGTAGTAGGTCACAAGTCCTATAAAAGCCCTTAATTGTCGAAGGGTTCTTGGTACCGGATAGTTTTTTACTTTTTCGATCTTTTCATCATCGGGTTGGATGCCTTTTTGTCCGACAACATGTCCTAAGAAATGGATGTCAGGTTTGAAAAAGCTGCATTTCTCTATATTAATCTTTAGGCTAGCTTTCTCTAATTCTATAAAAACTTTCTTCAGATGATCTAGGTGTTCTTCGAATGTTCATGAATAAATGTTAATTTCGTCTATGTAGACGGCCACGAATTTGCTGATATATTCTGCTAAAACTTTATCCATCAGCCGTTGGAATGTTGCGGGTGCATTGCACAACCCAAACGACATCACTCAGAACTCGTAAAGACCATTTCTCATTATGAAGGCCGTCTTCTCTTGATCATCCGGATTCATCCCACTTGCCAGTAACTGCTTTTAAGATCTAGGCTTGAGAACCAGGTCGCTTCCCAAAACATCTCCAATAAATCGTCTATGCATGGTAGCGGGTACGCATCCTTTTTCGTTACGGAGTTCTATTAATGATAATCTATACACATTTGTAATTTACAACCCTTCTTTGGAACGATCACTACCGGAGAGGCCCAGGGACTTTTCGATTTCTGGATTAATCCTTGTTCCTCTAACGATTTTAATTCTTTACTTAAAAATTCTTGTTCGTTGAACGAAGTATGGTAAAAATGTTGCTTAACTGGCTTTGCCTCGGTGGTATCTATGTGGTAGGCAATGACAGTTACCTTCCCTAAACCTTGGATATTATTAGTAAATAGGTGTCTTTCTTCTTTGAAGAACTTGTGTACTTTTTCTTTTTCTTCTTTGTCTAATTTTTCACCCTCTATGATGAATCTTAATTGTTCGTCTTCGGTCGGGATCAGGCTTTCATCTTTTGGGGTAGGTAATTCTTCTACCAAGGTCATATAGATTGCTGGATTGATCTCATCCTTTCACGGATTTTCATACAGATCTAACTAGTGTTTCGGGCGAAATCCATTTTCAAAATCCGAAAGGCGAAACCGAAATGCTCTCAAAGGCGAAATAAATCCGAA